TAAATCATTAAAAATTACGGTAAACTGAGAAAAAAAGAGTAACATTATTCTAGCATCTGTTGTTGGTATAATTGTTGGTCACACATTAATGCCGAATATACTGTTTTTCAGGAAATTTTATAAGCTTCAAATTTGGTCTGAAACATTTTGTACATATCTCTCATAGAAACTGAGAAAATTACCAGAAAGTGTGGCAAACCCAATTTTTTTACGAAAACTCTTATGAAAGGCATAATTGAAATGACAATTTTTTAAAAACTTTCATTTCAAAACCGGTTCCACTGCAGGATCACATACATATGCATATAAACTTTTGAAAAAATGTCGATATTATTTTTTCTAAAGTAATTTTATGTCATGTTTTGTAAAAAAAACTGTAAATTATTAAGAAATTTTTAACATAAACAAATATTTAAAAGGCTATATCTCTGGAAGTATTCATCACAGAAAGTCAAATAAAAAATCATTTTGAAGATAATTTAATAAACTTCAAGAAACATGTGTATTTTTTAAAAAAGATAACTCAAAAGTCCGCCATTTTGAGAAGTGTACCTAAAAACCGTTTCTTTTACGGATATCAAAAATACTATTAGTCGTATGCAAATCGGTCAAAAACCAAAATAATGAAAATTTAATAACCTTTCTACTTGATTTTAACAATTTTTTACGTAGGACTACCCATTTCCGACTTATATTGCGAGGAAATATTTATTCTCACAATTTCCAAAAGTTAAAATTTCATTTAAACCGTAATATTTCTAGAAATATTAGTCGCGCGGTATAACATAAATAATGCATTTTGTAGGTAATTTAATTATCTTTCACTTTTATTGTATGCATTTTTTACTTTCGGACAGCCAGAACTGAGATATTTTGAAAAAACACTCGAAAAAACAGCTCTTTTCTCATTTGCCCAATGCTTCAAAAAATTCTATCTTGGGAACTAATGGTCGTACGAAGTTCTACAAAAAACCAAATTGCGAGGAATTTTATCAGCTACATTTTCGCTCTGAATGTTCTTTCCCGTAAAACTAATAATTTCCGAGTTATTTGCAAAAAACCCACTTTTTTTTTCAAGATGGCGCAGCCGGCTCACGCTCTATGTATGGGGACTTTTAGTATGTTTAAAAGAACACTAAAATGAACCTGTATACCAATTTCCAGCTTGCCGGCAATTTTTTCATCCAAAAATCTTAATTTGACTGGGCTATACGAGGAAACGTTGCTGATTGCGAGCCTGCTTGCGCGTCTACGATGTAATTTACGGCGGTGCAAATGAGAAGGGACAAAAGCATTGGCGGTGAAATGACTTCGTTAAACAAATTTCATTCTTGTTCACGTCTTCGCGGTGTGTTTCGGTTTTCTAATTGTCTCCCATTTTACCTTCTTCTAAAACCATTCAAGGTTGTAATTTTATAATTTAGTTCGACTTTTCCAATTAATTTGAGATCTTTACCGAAAGCAAACTCTCTTCTGGTCGGTTCTTTATATACTTAATGTCTAGATATCAACGATTAGAGGTAATCTAACGTAAAAACATCGTAACTGAGATAATTTATTTTTGTCTCTCAATTATTAGATTCGAAGACTTCCTTATCTTATACAAATAAGAATATAAAATTTTAACTAAAAACTATAATAGTTAAATTTAAATTATTTTTAAATTGTTAATTTATGAAAGATTGAAGCAATGATAACAGCAAGAATCTTGAATATTAGAAGATTAATTTCTTTTATTAAACATTTTTAGGTATTGATCACAGCTAGATGTAAATGCAATTAGTTAAAGACGTCTCATTGAGTTCCAAGACAAATGCAAAGTTGTAAAATTTTTTAAATTAATTATTTAATAAAACATGATAAATACGAACATAAAATTATAGTTTCCTGATTTTATCTTTTAAACGATCGTTCAAAACAGGTATAAAGTTTTCGCGTTATTAATTAATTAAGTCAAATTCCTGCATTAATAATATAATCGTTTATGTGTCAAACGATTAAAAATAAAATGTTACTTTAAACATGTTGATAATATTATTTAACATTAAATTTTAACAGAATATACGTGACAATTTTATGTAAAGTAATTTATAAAATGTTAATCTTTACTGAAATAAAGTTTAAAATCGTTCGTTTTCCAAGGCGTAATATATTTATAGAATTTATTCGATAATTGTTATCTTTATATCAAACAGAAAATAATATTCGTTTCAATTAACAAATTAATTGATAGACAGCGATCAAGAAAAACAATTATACATGAAATCCTATAGATTATATTGAGACAGACAGCTCTTAATTACTAATAAATTACTTTTATACATAGGTATAAGCAAAGTCTTAATGTCTTAAGAAGTTTAATATTTTCATGCGGTAAAATACTCGACCGTTTATTTCTCCGAGAAATTATTTTTTACATCTTTAGCAAACATTCAATTAATCCAGAATGATCCAGAATAATATAATTTTTCACACGTGAATTTTTCCACGTGTGGACATCCAACAGAGCTTCCTTATCTCTCCAATATAATTTTTGTACTTTTAATTTTTTATTTATATTTCTATTGCGAATTCTATCACGCCTGAC